GGACGGTCCTTATTCACTACAGGGTATCCTAAAAAAGCTCAAGAAGGAAGCCTGCTAAATTTGCCGGTATGGAAAGTGTTCCCTTTAGAAAATTAAAAGCGTAGTGGAGAAGGATGCCAGCTAGTGACGGCATTTTCAACTTAGATCTCCAATATCAAAAAATGGCTACAAAATTGTATTATCAGTACTATTTTGATGTTTATATTAAAGGGGCCTCAGGTTTTAGTTTCATCCTGGACCCCAAAAATCTCAGAGTAAAGTGCACTGTAGGTCCTTGAACTATTTTTGGGGTATCACATAGATCCTCAAACTATGAAAATCACTATCCAAGTCCTCGAAGTGTAGTAAGTGTGTCATACAAGTCCAACATCTGCTTGACCCTATCTGAGTGGCCAGCTGGTGCCGTTGACCGTGACACGTCGGATAGGGGGACCCACAAGGTAACAGACATTGGTCAATAGTGCACCGGCCAATAGTTTTTCATATGAGATAAACAGAGCGCCAATTGAACAGTCACTGGCGCACCGGCTCAAATTTATCGTTCGCGGTTTTTTTATTTATATCGTTCATGAACATTTTCAAAATCATTGTTCATGAATATTTTCTAAAATTCGTGAACAAATATTTTTCAAAATTTTTGTTTAAGAACATTTTCAAATTTATTGTTCAGGAACATTTTCAAATTAATCGTTCGTGAACATTTTCAAATTAATCGTTCACGAACATTTTCAAATTAATCGTTCGCGAACATTTATTAAAGTTACTAACCACAATAATTTTTTACAATAATTTTTTAATTTAGGGTTCGTGAACATTTTCTTAAATTCGCGAACCACATTTTTTTTAAATGTTTACGAGTTAAAAAAAATGTTCGTGAATCACAAATATTTTTAAAATTAATCGTTCGTGAACATTTACAAATTTACCGTCCGCGGACATTTTCAACTTTATCATTCGCAAACATTTTCAAATTTTTTGTTTGAGAATGTTTTTATGAAAGTCAAGAATCAAAAATATGTTTAATAAACATTTTGTACATTATTGTTCGCGAACATTGTTTTAAAGTCACAAACATTTTTTCAAATCACAAAAGTTTTTCAAATTTATCATTTGCGAACATTTTTATAAAGTTGTGAACAAATATTTTTCAAATTTAATGTTCATGAACATATTTTTATGTCGCAAACCACATATATTTTTAAAGTTGTGAATAAATATGTTTTTAAAATATTTTCAAAATTTACCGTCAGTGAACATCTTCAAATTTATTGTTCGTGAACATTTTTTAAAAGTAATGAACAAATATTTTTGGAATTTATCGTTTGTGAAGATTTTCGAATTTATCGATTGTGAACATTTTTTTACTCTTTTTTGCTATTTTTTTAATTTACTCGTCACCCATACAGTGTTCATCGCGTACGAAAATTGTTCGACGATGCACTGTCCACCAAGATCCGTTATCCTGTGGGGCCCCCTGTCCGGCATGTCACGGTTAACGGTGCTAGCTGGCCAGTCAGATGGGGTCAGGCAGATTTTGAACCTGGATGACACACTTACTGCACTTCGAGGACCTGTATGACGATTTTCATAGTTTAAGAACCTATGTGACACTCCTGAAATAGTTCAAGAACCTACAGTACACTTCACTCAAAATCTCAGGGCCGGCCTGATGGGGAGTAGCAAATATAGGTTGCACTACACTGTCACAAATAAGATGCACTAAAGATAAGCAAGTGAGATGTTTATTTCCAAAATAAAAAAGAAACATGCGAGATGTTCATCAGTTGAGACGATACAGGTACACACATAGTAGGAGATAGGACTAGGAGGCGTGAAGAAAGAAATAAATTTAAAGATATTGCTTTGTATAGACTGAGCAAGAGCAATCCATTGCTATGTCTGGGTGCCCCTATGTCTCGCTTATAGCAAGACGATGGGAACCCTCGCGTCAAGCGCACCGTGAGACGGGCCAGCCCAGGAGCTAGAGAAAACAACCACTTTCTTTTTGTTTTTTGCATTCATTTTTTACTTTTGTTTATACTTCCAAATACTACAAATAAAATTTATTACAAAAACTAGATACATAAAACATTTGGAAAAAATGTTAACCAAGCATTTGAAAAATGATAAATGTCTATAGAGAAAATGTTTCTCGTGTATACGAAAAAATATACAATGTGTGTGAAAAAACATGATCATGTATTTAAAAAATATTAGTCAAGCATTTGAAAAAAAGTTAAAAAGCATTTAAAAATGTTAATCAAGCATTTTAAAAATAGTAAATGTGTACAGAAAAAATGTCGGACATGTATTGAAAACAAAATAATGAAGCATTTTGAAAAAAGTTAAATGTGTATAGAAAAAGTTGACCATGTGTTAAAAAATGTTAATCTTGTATTTTAAAAATGGTGTGTATACAAAATACATGTATTAGAAAAATGAATTAGATAGTGTATACCAAAAATTAACAATGTGTATGGAAAAAAGTAGACATCCAAAAATATAAGTTCTCAAAAAATGTTAATCATGTTTTTCCAAAACTTTAAACGTGTATATAAAAATGTTTCTGGTGTATAAAAACATATTGAATGAGTATTTAAAATAAGTTAACACATGCTGAAAAAAAGGAGACTGATCAAAATCAACAAAAACCAAGAAAAATGAAGAAACCCAGAGAAAGCCGAATAGATTAACAAGGAAAAAAGAATGAAAAACCATAGGAAATAACGCAAAAGAACGAAACCAAGAACGAAATAACGAAAAACAAAGAAAATCGATGAAAACTAAGAAAAGAAGAAGAAAGAAACCGAAATAAACCAACGAAACCTGAGAAAGAAATAATAAAAATCAAGAAAAAATATCAAAAAAATCGGTGAAATCCGAGAAATAAAAGAACAAAACGAATGAAAAAGCAAATAAAATAGAGAAACCAAAGTAAACCATGAAGAAAACCGGTAAAAAACAAAGGAAAAACAAAAAACCCGGAGAAGAAGAAGCAAACAAATAGAAGGAAAAAAATGAATTCGAACTAGCGAATCCATTGCTCGTCCGCGAGCATCGCAGTCTAGCGATCGATGAAAAAAAAAACCGGGTCGCGCCCAGTTTCTGTGCGAGGTAATAAAACCTTCTATGAGAGAAGCTATGGTCTCTCTATAAGCGAGACATAGCTCTCGCGGTCAATCCTTCAATAGTATTCCTAGTAGTCTCAGCCCCACAAAATAAATGGGCCAAATGTTGTTGAGTTGCAACAAGCTCGAATCTACTTACGGGGCCTAATAATGCGGCCCGTGGGGAAATAAGACCAGAAGCAGCGCCAATGAAGCAACCTCACAGCGTTATAAGGAAGGGAAAATTTAGCGACATGCGGTTTCCGCTGGGAAGATTTCTAGTCTTTGTTGGGCGGATTTTTTTGATGGACTGTACAAAATGTAAGGTAGACGAATTAGGAATTAGGATTTCTTCGGCGGATCTCTGTTGGGCCGCCCATCAGGAGATGGGTTTTTTAACACAGTACAGACACAAGCGTTGCCCATCAGCAGAAATTGTTTTGGCTCCAGAGAGGGCGTGCAAATTGGATGCTTCATGGTGACTGAAATCATGGCTCTAAGACGTGTTCATGATTTTTTTGAAAGAAAATGCCAAAAATACCCAAAAGAGAGAAGATAAAACAGTGAAAATCTGCCAGAAAAAATCGGTTGAAATCTTGTAGAAAGGTTACCAAAACAGAAAACAATATAGTACTTACATAGTCTAGTCTGATGGGCTGCACTGTTATGTTTAGAGAGGTGTACCCCATGTACTAGCATGTAAATAACGAAATCACTAGTTAAGAGATACCCCTCGCAAAGCTTACTCCCCCACCTTCTCTGATTTGACAAATGTCATACTGCATGTACGGCACTAATCGCAATTTGGGAGTTTTCCTTTTTTCATAGATTAATTTTTCAAAATGTTCAATCTCTTGAACTATGCGTCTGAATACGGAACCGTTTTCACCGTTTGATTTCTCATACCGAGTTATTCGAAACTAGATTTCTTGTTAATAAGTTTTAATGAAAAAATCACAAAAACCAAAAAACTCATTTTTTTAAACTCAAAAATCCAGTTCACATAAAAATACGAATACAAATAAAAGGAAGAAAAAATGGGAGCCCGGAAACCCGTATTGCGGTTTTTAACTTTTTTTGGAAGCCCAGGTTATGTTTCTTTTTTCTTTTTTGGAGCTCGCGGAAGCAAATGTATGCTTCTTTTGGAAGTGTAATTTTTTCCTGAGTAGAAAAACTGTGCTTCTCAGGGAAGAAAATATGTGCTTTCACACGGAGTAAATCTGTGCTTCTGGTGTAAGCACCACATTTTTTCCTATGCAAAACAAATTTCTCGAAAACATAGTAAGAAACCAAGCGGACACTGAAAAGGGGGAAAATCCATCTAAAACTTGAAAACACATACGGAAAAATAAAAAAACATATCCAAAACCAAGCACGTGACATATGGCGACGAGTGGACACACCAGTTGAGCTATTACCTGTAACTGTGGTTTTTCGAGGGTTCTTTCGGTGTTCCAATAAGCGAGACATAGCACTAGCTCCATATGTATATATATTTTTTCTAGATTTGTTTTTTCAGACACACACAAATATATTTTATATTTTTTGATTAATATAATACATGTATATTTTTTCTATTTTTGAGTAATACATATACATTTTTCTCGATTTTTTTGAGCAAATATATATTTTTCTAGATATATGGCGCCATTGTAGTCTAGCGAGGCAGGATGAATGGGCCTTGTGGAGGTGAGTCAGCCAGCCCAGCCTCACTTACTGGGCCGAATAATTCTGGTGGCCGGTGGGCAGGTGGGACGGGGAGCGGCGCCATTCATGCCACCCCACGGAAGTGTATAAGGAATCCAACCGCGGCTTTGGCACCTCCTCGCCCGCCGCCGCCGCCGCCGTCGCCGACCAGATCCCGCGCCGCCGCAGCCGCAGCCGCCTCCGGCCATGGCGCCGCCATCCTCCGAAGAGCCGGCCGCCGCCTCCGGGGCCGGCGCCATCTCCAAGGTCCTCGTCGTCATAGGTGCGTGCGCTTTTCCCCGTGGAAGATTCCCTCCTGGTGCTAGTGCTATGCTTGTTTGCTCACTGTGTGGGGGTCTGGTTGGTTGCAGCGATGCAGACGGAGGCGCTCCCGCTCGTCACCCGGTTCCAGCTCGTCGAGGCGGCCGCCGATGATTCCATGTCAGTGCCCCCCCCCTCCCCCTTTTTGGTTCAGAATTCAGAACTTAGAAACGGATGAGCAGCTACTTACTGGTCGATATGGCATGCTAGTTGAGTAGTTAGTTACTTGGCATGTTGTTCTGCGGTAATACGCGTAGCCCACTAGCTCTGTTCGCAGCTCCAAAAATACAGTGGAGTTTAGATGCAAGTGTATGCCTAGATAGATTTCCTGTCTTGTTGCCGCAAGGATTGGGTCTGCGCGGAGGTGCAGCATAAATTTGTTGCTGGAATGGATTGCGAGCTGGGAAAATTTAGCAGCAGTCGGTTTCCGTTGAGCAGATTTGTTGGATGGCTAGTTACGGTATAACTGAACCCAAGATGCTCTATACATGAATTAGGCTGGAACCAGTTGGTCCTCAGTTTTCTTTGGATGCTCTCAAGCTAACACCTTTCTTTGTCGGCACACACCTAACAGATTTCCTAAAGGTGCCCCTTGGACTCGGTACCATGGCGACTACAAAGGCCTCCACATCGATCTCGTCTGGCCTGGAAAAGACCCTGTGCTTGGTAAGTTCTTACCACTTTGCCGGTATTCCCAGCTGGCTGCAAGGACATGTTCTCTGTGGATCAGTTTTCCTGATCGACTTCTCATAAAAGTGTGGTTTGTTTGATATAATTGTCCATAATCAACTTCGTTCCTTACCAAGAGCTAATCTCTTTCAGGGGTTGACAGTGTTGGTACAGTATCCGCAGCTCTTGTGACTTATGCTTCTATACAATTCTTGAAGCCAGACCTTATCATCAACGCTGGTACTGCTGGTGGTTTTAAGGTAGTCTTTTCATTGGTTCAAATATTTATGCTACTGTTTGTGCATATTACAATTTTGCTGATCTTCTGTCTTGCTGCGTTTTAGGCCAGAGGAGCAGGTATTGGGGATGTCTTCTTAGCTTCAGATGTTGCTTTCCATGACAGGAGAATACCCATTCCTGTGAGTCCTGTCTTATGTTTCTTCTCTATCCACAGTGTAATTGCATCCATTTTCTTGTAAGAGGACTCCATTGATAAGCTTCAGTGTTGTTTGAAATTAGGAAGTCATATGTGTGCAGAATTGTGCATAGCTAATTTTACCAAATGAATTCAATAATCCAATCCATATTCTCCCAATAAGTAGGAGTTCTCTGCTCTGTTTGTATCATCACGGCTAAACATGTGGAACTAAATGCTTACGTTTGTGGTTTGAAATCTCTTTATGGCTTAGTATGTTATTTCTTCTGTAGAAATTTCCTCTCTTATGTCATTCTTTCATTCTCTGTTCAAACCTTATTGATGTTGACATGGTCTTTCTTGTGTAGGTCTTTGACAGTTATGGAATTGGAGCACGAAAAACATTTGAAACCCCGAATATAGTGAAGGAACTCAATTTGAAGGTAAGTTAGGGCATCTTCATTGGAAAGCGCTTGTATAGGCGCTTAGAGAACAAAGTAAATCTCGTAGAATTATAGAAGGAACTTAGCGCCTCTTGTTACAGTGTAAACCGCTAATCTCGGATGCTAATAAGCCGTCCGCTGAACTCGCCACTTATCTTGTGGGGCAAAAAAAATCCCAAGCGCCCGGTTCCCCTTTTTGCGCCGATGCCGTAGCTGGCGCCAGGTTTGGAATGCCCAACTGCCGATCGATCGGGGAACAAATCCTGGTGCCCTGGGTTAGCGCCCAGTGTTGGCGATGCCCTTATAGGGCTTAACTGGATGCTAGTTGTTGCCACTTGTCAATCTGCTGGATTATTTTTTTGGCCATACTTGACGGCATGAATATACATGAATATGCCTTGCTGTTTATTTCAATACAGTGTTGTTTCTGAAATGAATTTTTTGTTTTCATTCAGTAATGCATATCTAGGCTCAGGAGCTAGGGACCTCTCTAAAGTTGCTGTGCTTCCTCTGTTTCAGGTTGGGAAACTGTCAACTGGTGATTCTCTGGATATGTCCCCCCATGATGAGACAGCAATACTGAGCAATGAAGCTACAGTCAAGGATATGGAGGTACATGCTTTTGCTTGAGAGTTCAGCTTATGAATTACAAACATTAGCAAATAACACGCAAATGGAGTTTATTCACCCTACTGCTCCAGGACAACTTTAAGAAATCTAAAATTTTGACAGGGTGCTTGTTCTCCTGTAGGCACCTATATTTTTATTAGAGCCTTTGAGTAGGATGCTGCTAGTCTGCACACGGTGTGAACAGTAAATTCAAAAAAATAGTAAAAAAAAAAATAATCCGAAATTTTGAAGCAACGAAGATGTTCATTTGCGCAAAGTTCGTGCAAAATATCGTGGTGCTTGGACATCTGAGGACCTCTTACCAAAAAAAAACCGGGTGTGTTGAAGAACACTATTCATAGCCGATTCTTTTTTTTTTGCAAACTCCTCAGATGTCCAAGCACCATGAAAATTTCTAAGCACGTTGTGCACATGAGCATCTTCAATGTCAAAAATTTCAGGTTTTATTTTTATTTATTTTTACTTCTTTTTTAATTTACTGTTCATCGGGTATAGATGAGCCTGGGCATTGTTTTGAACTATTGCTTTGAGTAGTTCTTTACTGATCTGTATAGTTCTTGCTAGGTGATGCTATAGTTGAAGTTAAATAGATAAGCACTAATATACCCATTTATGTTAAGTTTTGTTACTGTTCTGCATCCATCTCTTGTACATGCTAACAAACTTTAATTTGTAGATCTCATACTTGTTTTATTTTCTCTCATTTGCCATTCCAGGGAGCAGCGGTGGCATATGTTGCTGACTTGTTCTCGACACCTGCTATCTTTGTCAAAGCTGTGACTGACATTGTTGATGGGGAGAAGCCAACAGCCGAGGAGTTTCTGCAAAACCTGATCTCCGTGACGATGGCGCTTGACCAGGCAGTCATGCAAGTGGTAGACTTCATCAGCGGCAAATGTATCTCTGATCTCTGAACGCCGAACACTCCGCCATGCTGTTCTGGGGTCCACAAACTGAGGGAGCCTGAATATATATTGTTGGATGTATAATGTTTCCTGGGGGGTTTCACACACGATTTTACATTATCGTAACCCCTATGTAAAAAATTCTTGGCGATTACTCGGAGCCATTGTATGGGATTTTGTAGAATTTTACAAACTGTGCAGCTTAGTGAAGCTCGGCTTAATAAGGTGGTGTATTGTTACACTGGAATAAATGATGGGCACTGGAACTCCCATGGATTCAGTACAATGGTTGATGGACGCACCTTGGCAGCTTCATCACATGGCAGCTGAATACTTTCCAAATGGAGTAAGAAGTAAAGGCTCTCATGTTTGTGAGCAGCTGTGCCATATGTATGCCGAATCAGTTAACTGCAATAATTCTACAGTACTATTCATTGGACTCAGTTCTTTTTTATCTACTATTTTGCATTTTTCTCTTTTACAGGATTAACAAACTTTAATTTGTAGAGCTCATAGAGACAAGAATGGTTTTTATTAGATCTTTTTTTGTTCTTTTATATGCACCCTCTGTTAAAAATGGTTTTAGATCACTAAAGTAGTGAATTAAAACTGGTTTTAGATCACTAAAGTAGTGAATTAAAACGTCTTATATTTGTTTACAGAGGTAGTTGCTTATAATGCAGTTGGAACTAAATGGATAAACATTGAGAATATGTTGATTTATGTACACTGGTAGCCAGTTACTCTTGCGTTCCACCTAGTGTTCTGCGTCCTTCTCTTTTACTTGCTTGCGACAAACTCTAATTTGTAGACCTCCATTTTGTTTTCCAATTTCTCTTTCGCCTTTCCAGGGAGCAGCGATGGCATCTCTGATCTCTGAAATCCTAACAATCTAACATTCCGCAAGTGAATGTAACATGTGGTATATATTGTTGCATGTATAATATTTTGTTGGGGTGGATTTCGTACACAATCTTACATTGTTCTAACCTTGTAAGAAAAAAAATGAAATTACTTGGAGCCAATGTATGTGATTTTGTAGAACTGTGGGAGTGGATTTTTTTTACATGATCTTACATTATCCTAACCTTGTAGAAAAAAAAACTGCAGTGTTAATGAAGCTCTGATGAGTTGTTGAATTGGCAAACTAAAATATAAATGATGGGTGCTGAAACTCCCATGGATTGAGCAGAGGAAAAATAACTCTAGGAGTGATGGATGCACCTTGGCAGCTCCATCACAGGCTAGCTACAAAATGCAGTGAGCTGTGAATTCTGGCCAATGTTGGGAGCAGTGAAAAATAACTCTATATGTCTATATATGTGCTAAGTCAGTTAATTGCTTGAATTCCATAGTACTGCTGGTTGGTTGGTTCTCTTGCTTTTTTTTTACCATGGTAAGTTGGTAAAGTTCAGGAGGCATTAAGTTGGCTGCAAGGCCGCTCCACAGAGATAGCAGTGGAGTTGCTAGATCTGCCATTGGCCGAAGAACATCCAAGTGAAGTGTTTTCTTCTTCCTTGCCTGCTTTGCTCTGGTACTCATGTTGTTCTGCTTCCCCGAACCCCAAATTATATTTTCCTCAGTTGATTTTATTTCCTTCTTCCATAATATTTTGATTTCCCCTGTTTTTGCATAAGAACATAATTTTTTCTGTGGAAAAATAGGTCATGCAGCAGTGCGCCGGCGAGGATGAGGAGACCACTCCACTCTCCGGCGACCAGTCCTTCTTCACAGCCATCATGTGCAAGACCCACGTCCAGAAGCCTTATCTGCTGGTATGATACGACACCGCAAGCCTGCAACAATGGCGGCTAGCTTCATAATCAATTGGTCATGCCCTGATCTTCTCTGCTTCTTGCATGCGCCGGACCCTGCAGATCATCCTGAGCCACTTCCAGCACCGGCTGCCGGCGAAGCGCGCGGCGGTGGTGCTCCGGTGCCGCGGGAGCTCGTGGATCATGAGCTACTGCGGTGACACCAAGCTGAAGAGGCTCGACCAGGGCTGGGAGCACTTCGCCGTCCACAACCGGCTGCAGGTCGGCGATGCGTGTGTGTTCGAGCTGGTGTCCGGGTATGCTGGAGATGGCGGCAAAAGGGAGGTGGTGCTGGAGGTGCAGGTGCTTCGACGCGGTGGCCTGCCGGAGCCTGAGGATCTCGCCACCAAAGGAGACACCGCCGACGAGCCCATCGTTATCATGGAGTAGTCATCGATAGTGAGAGCTGGCTGCACTTGTTGCTGGTGTATGTAGATTCATTCAATGTACGCGTGTCTTGTTTGTAAGACATCGACCACCATATTATTATTAGCTTGCATTTCATTGGCTAGATTTATGACAGAAAGAAACAAATTATGGAACCATAAATAAATATTATAAAACAATTAATAAATATTATAAATTAGACCATCGATTAACTTTATCACAACATAATCGCTTTGCTCATGACTGGAATAGTAGTCACTTGGCTTTAGCTTGAAAATTGCAAAATCATCACAAACATTTTGTTATTAACAAACTAGCAAATATGCCTGTGGAAGAGTTATTTTTTTTTGTGAGAAGCAACTGGAAAGATAATTGATGTGTCCACCAAAAATGGTCTCCCCAACGGTGGGCGATAGAATAAGGAGTTACGTCTTCTTGCGAGTCATGTTTGGCCGCAAAATCTTACAGTGGTGGGGTTGGTCGGCGTGGCGGTGAGCATCCAACTCATGCCTTTTTTTTTCTCCGGGTCCGCCTCCATCATGGGGTTGTGGCTTTCTCATTTTTTTTGCTGCGCGGCGACCTTCGGGACACGGTTGCTTCGACCACTCTCTCCTATGATGGCGTAACCGGATGGATTAGTAATTGTAGCACATAAATCCAGTTTCATTACCACAATCAGGCATGAATTTTCCTTCTTTATCAGGGTTTCTTTTCTTTGATTATTTTAGGGCTCACATGCTCAAATTTTTTCTAATTAGAGCCAAAGATCATATTCTCTTTAATTGGCACATGCCCATAATTTCTTTCATTTATAGCCAACCAACATAGAACAAATGTGTGCTGCTAACCAATGGCCAGCGCGAATATTTAAGAAAATACTATAGCACCCTGGAAGTGAACCGCCGAATACCCTTGGCAGCGTGTGGTGTGTGCTCACATTTTCTGATTTTTTTCGAACTTTCAAGAAATATGAGGTGTCGAATATTCTTGGAAATATGGGCAATTTTTGAAATCCCTAACTGTTATAAAAAATGTGAATAATTTTTTGAAAACTCCGTATAATTTTTGAAAACATCGAAAAAATAAGAAACCAGATTTTTTTTGAAATTCACAAAAATTCTTTTGTAAATATGAAAAATTTATAAAAACACAAATATTTTTCAATTTGTGAACAAATTTTGAAAAAGGGAACATCTTTTGAACACTCAGATCAATTTCAGAAAATGTATTCTAGAAGCAAATATTATCTTTGATTTGTGAACATTTCACTAAAATAGGAATAGTTTTCGAATATGTCATATTTTATAAAATGAAATTTGTTTTAATACATGTCGAGAAATTTTGGAAACGACAAACATATTTAAAAAACACGGGAACAAAGTTTTTGGAATTATGAACATTTTTTGAATATTTGAAGAAAAAGTGAATTCTTAATTTTTTTTATAAATTTCTTGTTGACGGGACAATTGTAAAAATTCAAGATAAACTTGGAAAGGGAAAATAAAAATAAAATGATAGAAAATAGAAAGAAACAGAAAAAGAAAATAGAACCGGAACACTAAGAAAAATGAAAACGAGCCGGCCCAGCCTAGCCTTGGGCGTCTGTGCAAAGTTTCGTCTATTTGCTGCCACAAGCAGGAAATAAGGTTTTGTAAGTTGCATAGGCAGGATAATAAGTGAGCTGGCTTCACTGGGCCTGAGGACGCTCGGCCCACAGATGAATTTATAGAAAAACGCGTTTACTTTTCTAGTGGACAGAGGCACAAAAATTTAGTACCACTTCAGATCCAAAATTTAGTACCAGTTCAAACCCTAACCTGGGCCCGAGGACGCTCGGCCCATAGTTTAGGCCCGTAGGCCTCAAGATGGCAATATTCCCCGTGGGGACGGGTACCCGCGGGGATTTACCCGTCATGGAGTGGGGGTGGGGGCAGATTAGCCCGATGGGTATTGTCTAGTGGGTACCTGTTAGTCTCGCGGGGCGGGGATGGGTATAAAATTCCCCCCGTGGGGACTCCATGGATACCCGAAAACTATGCCATATGTACTACAAATGCAGAATATATAGATTAATACCTAGATATTTCACATAATTATTTTTCTCCACCCCTCCCAACAACCATGTCTTCTCCAATCTCACCCATCCCAGTCAGCTTTGAAATCCCCATGGATACCCGACAGGTACCGGATACTCGACATTAACAGGGATGGGGGGTGTTTTGTCCCCGCGAAGCTTCACAGGGATCGCGGGTATGGGGATTGGCAGGGATGGTGGAGTCATCCCCGCTCATCCCCGTTCCCATTGCCACCTTGACGTATGCCTGCATTAGAGAGGTGCTCGAGAGGGCAGTGGCAGCGGCGCTAATAAACCACTCCAAGCCCCTCTCAACTAGCAAGGTGGGACTAAAGTTTTGGCCGCGGCAACACCCCCCTTTCGTCCCGGTTGGTGGCACCAATCAGGAGCAATTCCCACCTTTGGTCCCGGTTGGTGGCACCAACCGGGACCAATGCCCACCTTTGGTCCCGGTTTGTGTCACCAACCGGGACAAAAGGTCTCTGCTTTTCGCCCTTTGGGTTGACGAAAACTGACCTTTTGTCTCGGTTGGTGGCACGAACCGAGACTAAAGGGGTGCATTGGTCCCGGTTTGTGCCACCAACCAGGACCAAAGGTGGGCATTGGTCTCGGTTGGTGCCACCAACCGAGACGAAAGGGCTACGGCTGGCACGGCATCAGGCGGGTGGATGTTTAGTCCCACCTCCCTAGCTGAGAGGCACAGATAGTTGTTTATAAGCGCTGCTGCGCCTCCCCTTTGGAACTCCTCTCTATTGCAGGCCTACAGGCCTAAACCTGTCTCTCTGCTTGTGGGCCTACTGGGCCTGCTGCGGGCCTGAATCCTAGCCAAACTAGCTGGTTGGGGTTTTTAGTCGTATTCAGGTCGTGGTGGCCCAGTAGGTGGCATTTTTTTATTTTTTTCTAGTATTTTTGTTTTTTGCTTTATTTATTTTCTTTTGTTTCTACTTACAGTTTTTCAGTGATTCTTTTTGCTTTAGGTCACAGAAATTATAAACTTTCTGTTAGTGCCATTAGTTTTCAAATTTGAATAGTTTAAATTTGATTTCTTTGAAATTTGTGTGAATCACTAGTTTGTGAATAACTTTACTATAAAAATAGATTTTTGAGTGATTCTTTTTCCTGCTATTTAATATTACTGTGTTTTATCCATTGTTGAGGAAATCATTAACTGGTAGCTGCTCGGTCGGCTGGTGAGTAGGGGATTAATAGGCTAATCGGCAAGTTAATTGGCCATTTAATCAATTAATCAGATGATTTATCGGGTAATCGACTACTCGGGGACCCTATGAGTAGGGATTAATCGGCAAGTTAACTGGTTAATCGGATGAATTCTTGAACAGGGGTTTTATCATTATATTCAATTTGGTAATTTTTAGGTCATTTTAAATGTATGTTTTAATCAAAAACAGATTTTGTTATTTTAGTTTGCTATTAAAGTTTCTAACAAAAATAATTCTTTATGAAAATTCTTTTTGCTATTAATGTTTTGAAAAAAATATTTTGATAATTTTAGTTGCATAAGTTTTATATAATTTTAGTTTCAAAATACTAGAGGTTTATAAAAGCTTTTTAGTTGATTCTTTATGATGTTGAAGAATATTATAGTTTTGTTTTAGTTGATCATAACAAAAAAAATTGATTCTTTTTAGTTGCATAAAATTTTATATAATTTTAGTTGCTTAAATTTTAGTTTTTTATCGATTCTTTTTAGTTGATTCCTTTTGCTATTAGAATTTTATAAAAGCTTTTTAGTTGATTCTTTTTGCTATGGAAGAATACTATAGTTTTATTTTAGTTGATCATAACAGAATATTTTAATTGATTATTTTTAGTTCATTCTTTTTGCTATTAGAGTTTTATAAAAGTTTTGTAGTTCATTCTTTTTGTTGGGAAACGTAGCATGCAATTTTTAAAAAAATTCCTACACTTACGCAAGATTTATCTAGGAGATGCATAGCAACAAGAGGGGAAGAGTGTGTCCACGTACCCTCGTAGACCGAAAGAGGAAGCGTTTGACAACGCGGTTGATGTAGTCGCTGATAATTTAGTTGGAATTAAATGGATAAACAATGAGAATATGTTGATTTATGCACACTGGTAACCAGTTACTCTTGCGTTCTAGATTGTGTTATGCATCCTTCTCTTTTCACATGCGTGCGACAAACTGTAGACCTCGAATCTGTTTTCCAATTTCTCATTTGCCTTTCCAGGGAGCGGCAACGACATCTCTGATATCTGAGATCCTAACAATCTGGCATTCCACAAATGAACGTAACATGGGATATACAAATTGTTGGATATATAATATTTTGCAGGGGTGTATTCCGTACACGATCTTAGATTGTTGTAACCTCGTAAGTAAAAGAAGTCCATGGTAATTACTTGGCGCCAATGTATGCGATTTTGTATAAGAATATTTTGCAAAAATGAGCAGCGTTAGTGAAGCTCCTATGAGATGTTGTATTGGCAAACTAAAATATAAATGATGCTCTCTGAAACTCCCATGGATTCAGCACAGCAAAAATAACTCTAGGAGTGATGGATGCACCTTGGCAGCTCCATCACATGCTAGCTACGAAATGCAGTGCAGTGAATACTTGCCTATGTTTGGAGCAGCTGTACTATATGTCTATATGTGTGCTAAATCGGTTAATTTGCTTTAATTCCATAGTACTGCTGGTTGGTTGGTTGGTTCAGAAGCCTTAAAGTTGGCTGCACAGTCGCTCCACAATGAGCAGTGGAGCATCCAAGTAAAGTGGCTTCTTCTTCTCTGGTAGTCATGGTGATCTGCTCCCCCACACCCTGAATTATATTTTGCTCCCTCAGTTTTATTTTCCCCTTCCCTTGTCCCTCGTTGGGATATACTTATAATATTTTGATTTTCACAGTTTTTTGCTTAAGAACATATTTTTTTCTGTGCAAAAATTGG